TTAGTCATTTAAATTAGTTATCTATTTTAAATTTCCATAACTATAAAATTCATAATTTCCTCAGCTTTATTTTGAACCATAGTTTGTAAAAATGGATCAAGAAATCAGGAAGTTATAAGAGTTTTTCATCAGGAGGACAACTCACAGTCCATTGACCTCCATTCATTGTGTTGAAGCTCCTCAGTGCAGAACAGAGCTCCAGTGTGTGCACGTCTATGTAGCTAGCAACACGCTAGCCACGCCCAATCCACTAATATATATCAATGGTCCAAAGTGTGGGCTGCTCTGATGTCACTGAGCACAACGTTAAAAACAGAAGCTTTAAACTGTGGGGCTAAGCTAACAGCCATGAAGCACAGCCTCCTCCACATATGAGCAGAAGCAACAACAGCATCCTCCACCACTGAACTGTACACAACAGTGAAGACACAACATGTTAAACATGCAGTTGGTTTGAACAGGAATAAGAGTTTCTTTTCTGGAACAGGCCAATAAATCTGCTCATAATTACTGAAAAAACTCATTTATGATCTGCTGCAGAGCACTGTAGCACCAAACCTAACAGAATGATTTAAAGGTAAGGCCGTCTGGCATGCAGCAACATTATTAAAGTTTCATTAATGCAGGCGGTGAAGATGCAGAGACAAGACGGTTATTTGATGATAGCAGGGTGGAGAAGCACAGAAAACATATGAATTATTAAAAGGTGTAAAGAAACAAGAAACAGAGCCAGTGGGGGTCAGTCAGGTCCTTCATCTATCCCTTAAAAAAAAACTTCAAATTTATCTACTGAATAAATGCAGCTCTGCAAAAACAACACTGATTCTTAGGAAACAAAAAGGGACTGACTTGATGTAAAAACACCAGCAGCAGGAAACCAGTGGAAACAGCACATGAAAGAAGCTCGTTTAAAACCAGAGTAAATGTAGGAAACCCTCAGAGGAAAGTTGTAAATAAGCAGGAGCTCTGAGGAACTTAAAGACCTGGTAGAACCCTGCAGAGTGCAGAATTATCTGCGTACCTTGACCTTCTCACGTTGGATGGCCTCCTCCAGCTCATCCAGCTTGTGCTGCAGCTGGTTGATGACCATGGATTCAGCCTCTATCTGCTCTAGCTCCGCCTCCCTCTCACCCTGCAGCAAGGCTCGCTCCATCTCTGCCTGAACAGAGAAGCACACAGAACCTTACAGAGCCAGCTAGAACCTCAGCGAAGCTGGCTCTGAACATGAGAAACAATGAAAGTCTCTTTATTCTAGGGTCATTTTATGTCCAGACACCACCTCTTGTTTGGACTCCTGGTGTTGTTGGTCCAGCTCAGTGAGCCGAGCTTTGAGCTCATCGATCCGAGCCAGGACACGAAGCCTCTCATCCTCCAGGTAGCTGAGCTCTGAATGACCTGCACTGCCTGGACCAGCCGAGTCCTCATGCTGCAGGGGCACAGGTCATCAGGTTAAACACAGGTCACCAGGTTAAACACAGGTCATCAGGTTAAACACAGGTCACCAGGTTAAACACAGGTCATCAGGTTAAACACAGGTCATCAGGTTAAACACAGGTCACCAGGTTAAACACAGGTCATCAGGTTAAACACAGGTTAAACACAGGTCATCAGGTTAAACACAGGTTAAACACAGGTCATCAGGTTAAACACAGGTCACCAGGTTAAACACAGGTCATCAGGTTAAACACAGGTCAGGTTAGGGTTAGGGTTAGGTTACAAATGTTTTATTAGTTAGAGAATCATCTTTGCTTTAATATGGGACAAACAAATGATCTGTTAGTTAATGTGGTTTAATTAGAAGAACTCAGTGAATCTCACAGACAGCCTGCGTGCAGTGACACGCTCATACAGCAGTCTCTCAGGAGGAGAGTTTAGTCACTCACACAGAGTTGGACAGATCTGTTCAACAACAACATTCTGAACATAGATTTAATATAAAGTTAAGTTTTACAGACCAAAGTCTCTGCTAGTTCAGGAGCAAAGTGCAGGAGATGTCAGGACTGATCACTGCAGCAACTCGAGTCGAGCCGGTCCGCTGCTTCAACCAAACATGCTCTCACTGAAAGTCCCGCCCTGCTCTGCTCTGATTGGATAAAACAGCTCTGGACTTTGTCTGATTTGTTGAAGGCAGTGTGGCTGGATTCTTTTTTTTATTATTAAGAAATCAGGTCGCGTTTGCGACCACACTGGTCACTCTAGAGCCCTGCTAGCTGTTGTTTTGACAGACAATCAGGTACAATCTTAGGTACACAAGTGAGCTTTATGACGTTACATCTGGTGCGCTTTTTCCTTTTTTGACAGCGCAAGCGCACCTACGCACCGGTTATGTGCACCTCTGTTGATAAGGCTTTTATTCATTATATTTTGTCAAAATGCAATTTTTGTTAACATTTTAGTCAAATGACAAAATTTGCCTTTTTCTCCATATACAACTTTTAGACTTAATCCTGGTTTCGTTCTGACGGGTCACAAATAGCATGACTAAATCAAAAACTGACTTCTTCCTGTCTCATTGAAGACAAGCTTAACATCACATGAACCACGTGTAAAAAGCTCTGTGTACCAAACTACGTGTCAGCTGCTCAGCAACCATGTGTGCTCTGTTTTAGACATGTAAACATGAGCATTTAAAACTTGGCTGAATACTTGTCAGAGATGTTGAGGCCCCCCACACCCTCCACAGACACAGCAGAGCCATGCACATCATTCACATGCTAGTACCTGAGCAGCATGCAGAGCAAGCGTTTGTGTTGAGAAATAAGCACTGCCTCTGACCTGTTGCTCTCCATTCAGCAGCACTGATGTGAAGGGAGCAGGAGACGTCCTCACCTCCTGATGGGTGCTCTCTGTACTACTGCACTCCTCCTTCAGGTTCTCCTCATCACTCTCTCTCTGTCTCTGTGCCAAACACAGCGTGGTCGAGGAGGACAAAGGGGTGCTTCCAAAGACGTTGTCTAAAGACGGCCTCCGCGCTGAGCTGTCGGCCAGGCTCCCAGGAAAACCCATCCTCCCAGAGCCCAGAGGGTCCAGCTCTGTGCTCTCACCTTTGTTGTATTCAGCACAGAGAGTCAGGATGGTCTCCAGTCGCTGTCTCTCCTGTGAAGCAACGCAAACACAAACAAATGTGGGTTAGAATCCAGCAGGTGGGAAGACTTCAGTTAGCAGAGATTCTTAACCCATGGGCCGCGGTTCAATTGTGGGCCGTGAGCGCCACCTTGAGGGCCTCAAAAGAACAACAGTTTTTAACTTTGGGCCACAGAGGGCCGTGGGACCACATTGATTTTAAATAAGGTGTAATACACTTTCTCACCACTAGTAGCAGTAGTGCACCACTCAGATGTTTAACAACTTTTTAATATGTAGAACAGAGGTTCCCAAACTGTGGGGCGCGCCCCCTAGGGG